TGATGGAAGGCAATGGGTAAAAACATTTTATTGTGAGTCTCTCTAAGGGCCCATCAGCACCCACATCTGACTGCCTGAGGGCGGATTTACAACAGCTGCCCGCCACTGTCTTGCCAATAGGACATAAATACCACCAAGGCTTTAATTCCCTGGTAAAATAAGCTACATAAATAAAAAGTAAAGCGGGCGTTTATTAGACCTAGACGGAAAGGCCGAGTGGGGTGTCTGTGAGGGAGGGGGACGTCTCCCGTCTGATCTTGTTTGACAGGAGGGTGTTTTGGTATTAAAAATAAAATTAAAAAAACCAAACCCACTGACAAATTGACTGCAAACAGGTCCCCGGGGACTCGTCGAATGAACCGATCTCACCAGCTGGGCTGTCCGTTTCTAGCCCTCCTGATATTTATTATTGACTAACCAGGCGCTCCTCCTGTTTGCAAGCAGAGGGAGAGAGGAGCTGTCCCAAGATGTGACTGCCCCATAGATACACCCAAAGGGTCACTATTCATCTCGCTCAAAAAAGTCAACCCCACCTTTGGGGCCGTTTCCCAGGCAGTTATTTCAGCCCTCTGCTTTTATTCTAAACGAGGAATAAACCAGCCAAACCGACAATGAGCCCAGATTTCCGAGCTGTGAGAGCTAGGTGGGCGCTAGGATGGTTTTTTTAATATACAGGTCTGTCGCATCTTACGGGCACTTAACATGTATGAATTCAGCTTTACGCGGTCGGCAAAAACAAAAACAAAACACAAAAGAAAGAGAAAAATCACAATGTAAATCCTGTTCCTGTAGTGCGGGCGATTCCGCCCGCCGTTACGCTCAATGTCATTTTGACTATACGCGGTTTTCGCTTTACGCTCTGACCGCGGAACGTAACCCCAGGGTAAGAGGAGACAGACCAGACTCTCAGCTGGTGCCAATCAGCACTGAAGTTAATGGAGCCATACACCAGCTACAATTCTGGCCCCGGGGATGATCAGAATTGACTATCCATAGCGTTTTATCTAGTCGCGATGCCGTCCAAAGAGCCAGGGGTACTGAGCGGTTCCTCTGGCAGGGAGCCAGACGAGTGATTTTAACGGCCGGGTTCTTCTGCTGATTGAAGGGGACAGGGTGAGCCGAACAGGAACTTTTCACACCAGGCTCATTTGAGGTGGTAGCTGGCGAGAAAGCCAGTCCCAGCACCCAAGTGCAGACCTCGCTGCTGTGACGCGGGACAGGAAAGGAGAGAAACTGACACAGGCAAAGAACTGTCCGGCCCCCGGCTACATTGCTGCCGCCGCACTGGGCCTGGCACCTTGCACCCGCGTTTACACCACTGCGCTGTGGGTGTGAAAAGCTCCGCTTCTGGCCGGATCACACACGGAGACGGAGGCCCATGGGCTTCAGTCAGCACCAGCTCAGGATCGGGCCCTGCGGTGGGAGCGGCGATATGAAAAGAACTTGCTGATCTAGAAGACAGTGGGGTTTGGGCGTTAGCGCCTGCTAATCCCACAGCTAAAGCATTTGCTGAGACGCTTGGCGATCAAATGTAAATATGTCTATTGATTCGCTCTAGAGACACAACAGACGGCTTCTCCGAGGTGCTGCTTTCATTAGTTCAGGCAGCCGGTGGGAGGGTGAGGCGGATGCATTTAAAGTTTGAGATCAATGGCTTATTTCTCTTTAATAAATGGAGGGTGTCCGGGCTGAGCTTTTAAACGGTTACGTTTTAGCTCAACTGTCGAGTTATTTTCTTTATTGAGAAGAGAAAAGAAAAGAAAAGAAAAGAATCACCTGATACTAAATATCTTAATCCCGGCCTTTGCGAGGTTCTCTGGGCGTGTGAAAATCAACCCCATCAAATAGGAAATAAACAATATTTCTCAGGGCATTTTTGTTTGTTTCTGGGCCAGGTTCTATGCAGCGGATTTTCAAGCCCCAGACCCCGCTTTGGAGAAGATGCTAATAAAGCATGTGGAGGTGAGGAGAAGATTTGATATGAGTTTATTGAAGGCGGAATAGGAGAGGACGGGAGAAGAAGACAAATGATTCTCCAGGGATGAAAAATCTCAGGTTTTTATCCCCCCTGTTGGGGAGACTTGGGAGGATTTTAGAGGAAATTTTGTGAGTGTAAATCTGTCAACACGGGGAGTGTGAACCTATCAACATGGACCGTATCGCTGTAGAAACACACTCTTAAACATATGCAATATAGTAAATCTATGGGCAGAATAGTATTTAGTGCTATAGAGACACTTTGAAATGCATAGAAACTCTTAAACATGATGTGCACATAGATTGAATATAGAGCTATACATACAAAGGATTATGTGTAATACATTCTGTGCAATATATATGTACACAGAATGTTTGTTTCTAATTCTGTACATACCCACCACTAAGCTATTAAATATGATACACACATTCTGGAAAGTATTTCTGTTATAGACACTGAAATGTAGCTATAACACACACACACACAGTAGGTTTGTGTTTATAATACACTGTACAGTGTGCATACAATCATATGAGACTATAGACTATTCTATATAAACTGTTAAACATTCGATGTACATTCCGTATTATACAAACATACCCCGAATGTATATTTAATAAATATCACCGCTAGACGTGTACATTCACCTATGCACTCTCAGTATATTATGACATATATTACACACACAAACAGCCATATGTAATATATATCACACACACACACACACACACGGAATAACTGCTTATACTTCTATAACATCTCTCTTCTTGAAAGATCAATGAATATTCACATCTGATTTGATTTTTTTGCTCAGCACGGAGCCTATTTTGAACACCCATCTCCGGTATTCTGATTCCTCTAAATCTGAAAAAATGTAACAACTTCTCTCCCACACCAACCCCCCACATTTTATTCAACTTTACAAACCCATCTCTCTGTGTTCTGAAGGAGTGTGTGTGTTTGTGTGTTCCTTTGATGGGTGCCTGTATCTTCTTTTGTGCTATTTTTGGGGTAGGGGGAAATCTATTTTTCTTCTAACCATTGCTACAATAACGCCCTGACTCTGATAACACAATATTTTACAAATAAAATAGCCCACGGCTATCTTCAAAATAAATGCCTCTTGGATTCCAGATGCTCTGACATTTGCTTTCATTTTTTAAAGGAACGGGTAACCCTGCCCCTCCGTATTCTGAAGGACTGAATAGAACTGAATTGCTTTGCCCAGACTTTCTTGTTCTCTGTATTTTACTTTAGGAACAATACAAACAAACCAGTCGGATCCCAAGCCAAGGTGTCTGGTATGAGGAGTTGGCGACTAACCCTAACCCCAACACTGGGTCACAAACCTAAAGGGACTTTCTTGAACCGGAGGGTTCCCAGCTAAATGAACCTAGTTTGCATTTCAATTTTTTAAACTCTTTATTTTTTCTTTCAAAAAGAACCTATCTATATATCTATCTATCTATCCCCCCATCTATCTATCTATCTATCACCATACACCCCCTCTATCTATCCATCCCCATACACCCCCCCATCCATCTATCACCATACACCCCCTCTATCTATCTATCCATCCCCATACACCCCCATCTAATCTATCTATCCCCATACACCACAGCTATCTATCTATCTATTGCCATACACCCCATCTATCTGTCTATCTATCCCCATACACGCCCATCTAATCTATCTATCCCCATGCACCCCTTCTATCTATCTATCCATCCCCATACACCCCCCATCCGTCTATCTATCTATCTATCCCCTTGCACCCCTTCTATCTATCATCCCCATACACCACCCATCTATCTATCTATCTATCTATCTATCTATCTATCTATCCCCATGCACCCCTTCTATCTATCTATCTATGTAAAATATATTTATATATTTTAAAACTCTCCGCACAGTCAGCGGCCTTCTCTAAACAATACCCCGAGCATTGCAGTACATAAATGTTATTATTACCAATGTTAATAATGAAACACCATTATGAATAGAAGGATTATAGCCCAGTGCGTGTAAAGGGGTCATTTCTATTGGTACACATAGGAAGTCGCTGGATTTTAGAATGTGCCCTGTTTGTACAGGTCTGTAGGGGTCTAGGCAGCCCTTCCCACATGGGGGTTATGGACGGATGGTCTGAGGAATCAGACCCTCACTGCTGCCCTTCCCCTCCCCAAAGCACCGAATCCATCACACCCACACAGCTCTGGCAAGGCCGGTTGGAGGGCAGGTGTGCACATTGGCAGGGTGGAGCTGGGGAGCGTATGCTTGGAGGTAGGTTTGGCTGGTTTGCAGGTAAAGCTACCATCTTTCATGGGTGGGTTGGCAGGAGCTGGGACCTGCAGGTGAGGTGAGAGGAGCCAATGGGCATTGCAGGTGGGGTGGGGTGGGGTGGGGAGGGATAGCTCAGTGGTTTGAGCATTGGCCTGCTAAACCCAGGGTTGTGAGTTCAATCCTTGAGGGGGCCACTTAGGGATCTGGGGCAAAATCAGTACTTGGTCCTGCTAGTGAAGGCAGGGGGCTGGACTCAATGACCTTTTGGGGTCTCTTCCAGTTCTAGGAGATGGGATATCTCCATTAATTTTAGTGGGGAGAGGGGCGGGGTTGCAGGTGAGGTGGGTGAAGCCGGTGGGGGAGTGCAGCTGGGCTGGGTGGAGCCGATGGGGAAAGGGGCGGGTTGCAGGTGAGGTGGGAGGAGCCAGGAACTGAGCGGAGCCATTGGGGAGTAGGGTGGGTTGCAGGTGAGGTGGGCGGAGCCAGTGGGGAGAGGGGCGGGTTGCAGGTGAGGTGGGAGGAGCCAGGAACTGAGCGGAGCCATTGGGGAGTAGGGTGGGTTGCAGGTGAGGTGGGCAGAGTCAGTGGGCTGGGTGGAGCCAGTGGGGAGAGGGGCGGGTTGCAGGGGAGGTGGGAGGAGCCAATGGTCTGGGCGGAGCCAGTGGGGAGAGGGGCGGGTTGCTGGGGGAGGTGGAGGCCACAGGCCTGGCGGGGTGGGGATGGGGGGGCGTTCTCCTACCTGCCCGTTCTTCATGAGGTCGGCCCACATGCTGGTGCCGTCGCCGCCGCGCATCAGCACGTGGTAGGTGAAGAAGTAGATGCCAGGCAGGGGGCAGGTGAACTTCCCGCTGGACGGCTCATAGTAGTTTCCCACGTTGGTCACCACGTCGTCGAAGCGCAGCACCTCATAGCCCTCGTGGGGCTTCCGGAGCCCGGCGTAGAAGGCGATCTTGGGGCTGTAGAAGGACGGGATGTAGCCCCCCGGCCCTGGCCCCGGTGGCCCCGGCGGCCCCGGTCTGCCCGGCTCTCCAGCCGGACCGCGTGGCCCTGGCGGCCCTGGGGGGCCCGGCAGCCCCCGGATCCCAGACTTGCCCTTCCTCCCTTGGTCCCCTTTGCCCCCTGGCAGGAACGGGGGCGGGGAGATGACGGCCAGCTCCTGGCTGGCTTCAGCGGAGGCCGCCCCGTGGGTCTGGGGCGTGTAGGGGTCGCAGACCATGCGGCAGCTGCCCAACATTTCGTACTGCGAGGTGGCCTTGGAGCTGTGCACCAGCAGCGGGATGGCCACCAGCAGCACCAGCACCATGGCCACCCCGATGGCCGCGCCGATCACCCTCTTCTTGCGGCTCAGCCTGGACGCGGCCAGGGCTAGGAAGTCGTCTTCGCTTTTGGATGTAATGGTGGAAGCTTCTCAAGAGATGGAGCCTGGTGGGTGGGTGGGGGGTGGGATCGGAACCCCCCAAAGAGTCAGTGGAGGAGAGACAGCCCTGGCTCAGTGCCCGTGGACGCAGCCCGGCTCGGTGCCCACGGACTCAGCCCTGTTTCGGTGCCCACGGACGCAGCCTGGTTCAGTGCCGGCAAGCGCAGCCCGGCTCGGTGCCCACAGACGCAGCCCGGCTCAGTGCCCACGGACGCAGCCCGGCTCAGTGCCGGCGAGCGCAGCCCGGCTCGGTGCCCACAGACGCAGCCCGGCTCAGTGCCCACGGACGCAGCCTGGTTCAGTGCCGGCGAGCGCAGCCCGGCTCGGTGCCCACGGACGCAGCCTGGTTCAGTGCCGGCGAGCGCAGCCCGGCTCGGTGCCCGTGGACGCAGCCTGGTTCGGTGCCGGCGAGCGCAGCCTGGTTCGGTGCCCGCGGACGCAGCCCGGTTCAGTGCCCACGGACGCAGCCCGGTTTGGTGCCCACGGACGCAGCCCGGCTCAATGCCCACGGAGCTGACCTGTGGTGCCCTCTGGCTCGCTCCGCTCTGCAGCCGGTCTCCTCACTTGTTGCCTCGGCTCTGAGGGACAGGAAAGTTCCCGCCAAGTTGCCCAGGAGCGAGGCACCCGTGTTCTCTGCCTCCCTCGCTACCTCTCCCCACCACGCCGGAGATGCTCGCTCCTTGCCAGTCGACACTTCGGATTGCTCGCACTTCACTGGACGCGGCGGCGGCAGCAGCGGGAGCGGGAGCAGGCGGGGGGGGGGGTCGGAGATAGCTGGGAGGAGTGTGAGTGTGGAGATAGATACAGAGATATTTTGTCTTCCCCTCTTGTCTTCTTGAGAACCCAGCTGGTGACCGTGGCAGCTCCAGGCTTCTCCTCGTGCCAGATCATATGGGCATCATCTCTGTGCAGCAAGACACTAGCGGGAAGGGATCCCAACCTCCGGCCCTCCCCCCACCCTTCGCCTCCCTGGCACCCCCCACCCCAAGCTCTCCCGGCGCCCAGCTGGGAGGGTGCGCGAAGGCAGGTCTGAGCGGCGGGAGAGGCCGAAAGTCGCTCGAAGACAAGCAGAGCCACCCGGGTGCCTGGCTCAGCGCGAGCCCTGGGTGCCTGGAGCCGTGGAGTGTCGGATCCCATCCATAGCTGCCTGGCTCCCTGGGCGTTTGCGGGAGCGAGAAGCAGGCTGGCAGGGCCGGGGGTCCGAGGGCATCGTCCCCACGTGCTGCTGGGGAGGAGACGCGGCTCATGCCTGGAAACACCACGTCTCTTCCTATAAGACGCGGAGCCGGCGGATGGGTGACCCCTCCGTGCTTGTGCTGCTTGGCCCCATTGGGCCCTGGTGTTCTCCTGCCTCCTATTACTGCTTTACCCCCCCTCCCCCGTTCTGGGCTGCCGCTCCAGCCCCCCCAGCTGGAGTCATGTTTAAGGCCGTGTTTTATATGCTGGGTTTGTCTCATTCCCCTGTGCAATGAAAGCGCTTTACCTTGGTGCCTCCCCGCCTCTCTCTGCAGAGACTGATTAACAGCTGACAGATCAGCTACAGGGGCTGCAAACCATCACGGTCATTAATTAATCAATTACCCCCCCACCCCGTCCAGGGAGCCTATCGCTCAGTCTTGCAAGAAGCCAGAGCCGGCATGAGGGGCACGTGTGTGTAACCCACACTTGCATAGCCGCCAGACGGGTGTGTTTATACCACACCTACAGAGACACGAGGGATGCGGGTATGTGATACCAGTGGCCATGCCCCCGGCCTCAGGTGGCAGCGGGGTGCAGTTCTGGCTCCTCCGGAACAGTGTCTCCGAGGGGCAGAGGCCGGAGCCCCCCGTGACATGCAAAACTCAGCTCAGCCTGGCCTAGCGCATCATTCCCCCATCTCTGTCGGACTGTCAGTGATCCAGGCTCACTTCCTGGCCAGAGCCGTGTCCTCTGCCTACCCGAGCCAGCGCTGGCTTTCAGCGTGATCAGCGATTCTGGGGAGTTCGTAGTTATGTACCCAGCTCGTCACACTTTCAAGGGGCCTGTTTCTCAGAGCAGGAGACACTGAGCCTCAACAGAGCACCCCAAAATCAGAGCTCCTAGAAATCGCTGGTTCCTTCTGGAAACCTTGGCCAAAATGTGTGTGTGTGTGAGTATAAATCTATTTATCATACACACTCCTCTTTGCAGGGCAGGTATTTATAGAGGGGTTCATTAGATACACACTATAGATCGGTGGCACGTTGCTATTGCTACGTATGTTGAATAGACAAATACACGTTGTGTGTGTGTGTGTGTGAGAGAGAGAGAGGGAGGCAGTGGTCACCTGGCCAGCCCTCTGTCACACTTGGCTATCAGGATATAACCACTCCACTAGCTGAATGGCGAACTGTCCCATTCTGTGCTAGTCTAGGCAGGTTCCTATACCCCGTCGACAGGTATCTCGAGCTAGGAGCACCAGAAATTCACAGACAGCTTTTTAGAGCTTGATACGTATTCTGCTCCCCTGACAAAAACCATTTCCACCCCCCCGCCCTTATTAAAATGCATTTCGAGGGGCCTCAGGTGACTTTAAGCAAGTGAAATGTCATGACAGGTCTGTTCTGCGCTGGCTGCAGAATCTTGCAAACAAAATCAAGTTATAGAGGATTAAAAATCCCCTTGCTCCATGTCCCTGTGTGTGTTTGGGTGTTAGCATTGTCCCCTAGACTGCGTATGGGTGTGTGTTAGTGTCGCTCTGCTTATTGTCTGCTAGTTTGTGTAGTTAGTGTGTGTGTGTACGTGTGCCTTAGCGCTTGCAGTTGTTTGTTTGCACACGTCAAACCTTTCTCAGCAAAGGTTCCTTCCTTTTCTCGCACTCACGACCTGGGGGAATTGTAGTTAATTTTTAGGCCGAGCTCGGAGCCAGGGTCTGGCTATTCCAATACATCTCAATAGCTACCTGTCTCTGGGCCCCTAGCAGTTGTCTTCCATGCTCCCACATTCATCTTAGCAGAAGAGCAGGGGACATTTTGTGCTTTGGGATCTGATTTATGGTTGCTCTTTTCGAATCTTTACTGAATTTGCTCCTTTTATGCAAAACGTAGCTCCTGCCCTCAGAGCTCCGGGGAGCTGGGCTGATTCCGGAGAATCACCGTCCAGAGAGAGTCAAATCTGCATTTTCTGAGCAATTAGGACAAAAAGGAAAATTGTGCAAACGGCTGCCTGGTTCTCCAGGGTGGCGACCTCCCGCTTCCCTGACACCCGGTCCCTTTCAGTTCAGCCGGCAGGCTGGGAATTGGGCTGACGCGCTATAGGGATTCTGTCTCTTTGTCCACTCCTTACCCTGACCCGCTGGCAACAGACGGTCACTTTTAATGGGGGTTTAAATGTGAGACATTCTTGGGTCTTGCATTTATGTGTGCGCGCGTGAATGTGATTGTCAGAGTGTCTCTGAGTGCGCGTTCCTGTGTGTTTGTTACTGTGTGAATTTGTGTATCTGTCTGTGGGCTGGTGCAAATCCGCATGTTGGTATCTGTGTGTCTGGCTGGCTGTGTCTTGCCCCTGGTCTGACTGCTCCCGCGCCCCGGAGCGGGCCTGCCGCACCAGCCCTTGCGATGGTACGTGTCATTTAGTCGTATCGTTTTTAATTTGCAGGCCGGGCCAGCCCCCTTCCAAAGGGCAATAATCAATCAGCCAGGATATTAGATGGATTTATGGGCGCTTTATGCACCAGGATCAATGCAATTCTGAAAAAAAATTCGAACAATGTTTGTGCAACAAATTACAGCGGCTGGAAGTCCCCCTCCCCCAGGCAGGGAGAGGAGAAGATTCCGGGGGGGTGCGCTAGTCAACGGGCGGCTTTTCCTCCCCACCTTGGATAGACGCGTTCCCCACACGCCCCCCACCCCCTTTGTCTGAGCAGCAGCAGCCCATGGTTGGGGGGGGCGCTTGCTCCGTGGGCTACCAGAGCTGCTGCCTTCCTAGCCCAGGGACCTGCTGCCCCAGCCCATTCCACGAGCTGATCCTAACGAGCAGCAACAGCGAATTCATTAGAGCGGCAAGGGGGAGCCCTGCAGAGCCGCGTGTTAATTAGCAGGAGCACCAAGGGCTGGCTGGGCCGTGGCAGGATCCTGGTGCCCGGAGTGAAGGGCGATCCCTGCCCAGCTGCCCTGGGGCGCTTTCCTCTGACCCACGGGGGCGCGGGGGAGGGGTTGCTGAGCTGCCGCACTGGGGGCATCCAGCAAAGGAAGGGAGGAGGCTGCAGGCTGGTTTCCCTGGGGCTGGGCTCTGGCCCCATCAGCTCCAGCCTTTGCCTTCCCTCCAGGAAGGTCAGAGCACGGGGCAGAGAACGCCAGCCAGTGACCCTGGTGGTGCTCAGAGGGATCGTCCGATGCATGGGGAAACGGAGGCTCAGAGAGGGGACGTGACTTGCCTAAAATCACGCAGCGAGGGAGAGGGAGGAATAGAACCCAGGAGTCCCGATTCACATTTCCCCCCCACAACCATTACATCCCACTCCCAGAGCTGGGGCTAGAACCCAGGAGTCCTGGCTCCCAGCCCCCCCTGCTCTAACCCCGGAGGTGGGACAGGGGAGGGGAACAAGGAAGGATGGAGAATGGAAGGGGAGGGAGGGAATGAAGGCGACAGCAAACGCTGAAGGTAAAAACAGAGGCAGAGGAGAAGAGCAAGGTCAGAGCTGCAAAGGAAAATCACGGGAAAAGGAGTTCAAACCGGAGCAGAGAACAATGAAATCAGAGGGGCAGGGCCCAGGGGGTGGGGAAAGAGGCCTAGGGCAGGGGGGAAATGGGGGTGCTGAGCGCTGGGGCTGGATTCGGCTCTCTGGCACTGCAGTGGGGCCAGGGCCGGATTCTGCGCTCGGCTCCTAGAGTCAATCCAGCCTGTCCCGGAGTGACCCTGGATTTACAGCAGGGAGGCTGGGATCGGAGGGTTTGGACGAGGTTTTATTTCCCCTTGGGAAGTCCATGGTGAGATCTGAGCTGACGCCTGCTCTCCTTTGCCCTATGCAGTCCCTGACCCCGGGGGCAAAAGCCCGTCCACATGGCAGCGTTTCACACCCACTGCGCCCTGCTGGAAATCACGGGGCAGGGGGCGGAGCAGCCCCTACTGCACCCCACAAGGAGCCCAGAGCCCCTGCTGGAACCCAGCCCCGCCTTAAACTGGATGACAAAAGGGCAGATACAAAGTAAAGCACTAACCCCGCCCACCACACATGCCCCGCCCACTTCACTGGGAAACTAAATCTCCCAGAATCCATTGCCTTGGCCACGCCCAGCCAGCTGTGCAGTGGATTCTGCTATAAAAGGGGACATGCAGGGAGAGGAATGGGATGTGTGTAACCTACTTGCCATCAGCTGCAGTGCATTGTGGGGCAGTAGCTCTGAGTCTGGGTGGGGCTGTCCCAGGACAGGAAAGCAAAGAGACACCCGTGAAGTGGATCTCTGCCTGTCTGGGTCCGTCTGACCCCCCTGGCTGTGTCTCTGTGCTCCCCTGGAGACTGGATCCAACGTGTCACTGGAGACTTTCGGGTTGGCTGGATGCCTGAGGTGACCTCTGCAGGGGTTTGGGGTATTCTTTGTTTCCTTCCCTTGTGCCCTGTCGCTGTCGTCTTCTGGCCGTGGCGTAACGATTCCGCGCTAACGGAGAGCTGGGCAGGGCTCGGAATGATTGTATTCAAGTAGCACCTAAAGGCCGTGACTGAGAATGGGGGGGCCCTTGTGGGGCGCTGCACGGGCCCCCCCTTGACTGAGACTAGGGCCCCTGTTATGCCACGTGCTGCGTGTGACACTACACCCCATGTTATTATTATTATGACATAATTCTGATGTATTTTATACAAGATTCGTCCTGTGAGGTGTCCTTGGAAAAGTTCTGACTTGCTGAATATGAGTCTCTGTGACGAACTGGGACTGTTC